GTCTTCGTCCCAGGATGTATGTATTGGATGATTAAAAGAGGCTTCGGCCGGACTACCTCAGAAACTCGCCCTACTCGGCTTGCATGTTGACAAACTGTACCGGGGCATGATCTACCGCTACAATATATTAGGCCGTGAGAAGGGCTTGCGATTTTCTATTAGAGATGGCTGGTTCCTCCGTGGCCACATCGGTAAGCTGACTGGTGAAAGCAGCCGATGCCTGTGCGGAATACGTACAGCCACGATAATCGTGCTTTTGTCAAACCCCGCCTGTGCCCGTGATGTGATGGTTTCTTACACTTCGCCGCCTATGGGTGACAAAGGTGAATATGGCCGTGATAGTTAAAGATCCGTGACCCTGGTGTGATGTTCCGAACAGCGTGGTGATCACCGGCGTGAGACGTGGGTCAGGTCTGTGACCCTGGTATGGCGGATGCGTGCCCCTCATGGCGTATCGGTATGCAGGTGGAGGCTGATCCGTCACTCAGTGGGATGGACCCACATGCACCGCACAGCTGGCCTGGACTGCGCCACGGCGTCCGATGAACCTGAGCGGTGACCCGGGCGCCATAGTCTTGTCCCCTCGTTGCTTACCGATGTCAGAGGAAGATCCAGTCCTGTGACGACTTCGTAGTTGGTACCCTCCGTCGCACAACGGCGCCAGGTCTTAACCGGATGCTGAAATACCTCGTGAAGTCTTATCGGTTCACTTCTGCTCGAAACCTCTCCAAAGATAGGAAAGTCATACCCTTTTGTGAGTTCTCAGAATCAACTTCTTTTGTGTGCTAGAGGCGTCTGTTTCTGCGTAGTTTTATGCATTGCGTCTGTGTGTGTCTACGCATTTGTCCGTGAAAAGGTTTTCGATGCTCTGCGTTCCTAAACACGGAAACAGGTTTTGTGCAAGCCTTTTAAAATTTAACCACACCAGCAAGCATTTGGTCCCATATCTTGAGAGGCGATGATAAGATCAGTCAAAAGCTGGGAGCCATTAGGGGCCTGCGATAAGATCTGTTAAAAGTTGGGTGAAGCAGACACGACTGCCAGACCGGCAGGCACCGGGCCCTGGAGCCGTTCAGTGATGCCCGCCGTTGCGGCCGTGTGTTGCAGCTCAGCGACTGTGACGTCAGCGTGACGTGGGCCTCGGCGGCGGCCTGCAGCCACCGGCCGGGACCGACAGCGGGCGGCGCAGCCCTCCTCCGGACACGCCCGGTACGGCCGGCACGGGCTGAACGGCCCGACGACCCAGCCGGGCCAGGCTGCGGCGCGTTGCGCTCAGGGGCGTGGGACGGTCTGGCGCAGCTCAGGAGTGATGCTATGACCTGCCGTGGGATGGCGTTGGGAGCTGTGCTCTCGGTGTAGTACAATGCTGATCCGCTTGCGCAGGTGCGAGGGCATGATCTGCACTGGCCGGCCGCTGACTCCGGGTCAGACGGCGTTGTCTCTGCTGACCTCAGGCTGCACTGCGTCGTTTCCATGGTTCCAGTTTGCGCCGTCCTCTCTGACCCCACGTGTCTCAGCGCCGTTCTCCCTGGACCTCACGTGTCTGTCAGCGCCGTCCCTCCCTGATCCCACATCAGTTAGCGCCGTCTCCCCTGACTCCACATCAGTCGGCGCCGTCTCTACTGACCCCAAATCGCCCCCGCTAACCGCGCGACCGACCCCAGGTCGGACGGTGGCCTGGCTGCTGCTGTTTGGGCTGGTCGGCGCCGGCGGCGTGGCGCTTCTCTGGCGCCGCGGTCGGCGCGGCTGCGGCTGGCTCCGTCGACAGCTGCTCTCGCCGGGCACGCGCGCCACGGCGCACTACCGGCGCGTAAGTACCGGCCTCGCGCTGGCCGACGGCGGGACTGGGGCCCGCCCGACGCGTCCCGTGCGTCCCGCGCCGGCCTCTGGCGTCGGCCGGCCCGGTCTGCCCGGTGTGACCGCTGACCGGGCTGACGCTCCGAAGGCCGAGCTGTTCCAGTGACCCCGGTGACCGGCGGTCCCCTGGCGCTTACCCATGACCAGAGATCTCAGGCCATTAGTGTTACCCATGAATGACAATTGCTGGGTGTGCGCTGTGTCCTGTGTTCCCTGGGTGTGTACCCTGTCCGGTGACCCCTGGGTGTGTACCGGATCCGGTGTTCCCTGGGTGTGTACCGTATCCGGTATTCCTTGGGTGTGTACCGTGCCCGGTGTTCCTTGGCTGTGTACCGTGTTTGGTGTCCGTTGGGTGTGTACCGTATCTGATGTCCCTTGGGTGTGTACCCTGTCCTATGTTCCCTCGGTGTGTGCCCTGTCCTGTATTTCCTGGGTGTGTATCATGTCCGGTGCCAGCTAGCTGTGTACCCTGTCCTGTGTTCCATGGGCGCGTATCCTGCCCTGTGTCCGACAGGCGTGTACCCCGTCCGGTGTTCCGGGTGTGTTCCGCTGGCCGCTGGCAGCTGAGCGCCCCGTCTCTGCGCGTCGCCAGGTGCGGCTGGAGGAGACCGCTGACTCTGAGAGCGCGCTGCTGCTGGACGACTCGCTCGAGGGCCAGGAGTCGCCGCGGCCGGTCCGCCGCCGGCCGCCGTCGCCGCCGCCGCCGCCACCGCTCGCCGCCGGCATGGCGGACGTGCCTCTGGACGCGCCGACCGACTCGGACGACGAGCTGCTGCTTGTCTAGCCGCGCCGACCGGGGCGGACCAGGCGGGACAACCTGCCGCTGCCGTGCGGGCACGGACGCTACCAGCTGTCTGACGCGAGAGTGCCCGGTCGCTCCCCGCTGACTGGGCAGGAGTGCTCGGTCGCTGCGCGCTGACTGGGACAGGAGTGCTCGGTCGCTCCCCGCTGACTGGGGCGGGAGTGCTCGGTCGCTGCCTGCTGACTGGGGCAGGAGTGCTCGGTCGCTCCCCGCTGACTGGGGCAGGAGTGCCCGGCCGCTGTCAGCTGGCTGACGTGGAGTGTTTGTGTTTGGTCACTGGGAGCTGGCTGGGACAGGAGTGTTCTGTCGCTGGTAGTTGTCTGGGGCAGGAGTGCCCGGTCGCTACCAGCTGGCTGACACAGGACTGCTCGATCGCTGTCAGCTGGTTGGGCAGGAGTGCCCGGTCGCTGTCAGCTGGTTGGGCAGGAGTGTTCGGTCGCTGTCAGCTGGCTAGGCGGGAGTGTCCGGTCGCTGTCAGCTGGCTGACGGAGGAGACCTGGGCTGGTGGCGGCTGGCTGTTGCAGGCTCTCGCCCGGCGGCCCGGGCCGTGGAGGCAGCCGATGACTGACTGACGCAAGCGTGGCTGTCACGGCATTATCGTGGTCAGCACGAGACCCCTGGGGGCAGGGGCCACGTCACGTAGCGTCGTGGCCGAGGGAGCAAGGCACCCACGGGCCACAGAACAGGGACTGTGCCGTATTAGGCACTGCTGTGGCGAGGCTTAACTCTCACTTTTCCGGACGTGCTGAGGCTTGTTCAGGTTACGAAGGCATCGCTTTTAATGAGATTTGAACAGGTGCTTTCGATGAGACGCGAACGGAGGTGCGTTATTGGCTGATGAATGATCTCCAGTCCTACATCTTACGTGGTCGTTATCGCGGCATTGTCATGTCACAGTCATGTCGTTGACGGTGATGTGGAATGGACGAGCTGGTTGCTTCATCTCTTTCATGAAGGGATCGATTTATTCCACTTCGTATATTGAGTCAAGTGTTAATGCCAGCTGAACAATGTCTGTGATGCTCTTCTATGATTCGAGCTGTGCATGTCGGTCTTTGGATTATTTTATCTGTGCAAAAACGATGGGTCGCGTGATCGGGATGGGGCTGCTCCGCCTGCACGAGGCTTGGCGCTTGCGGTCGCGCACTAGTTCCGGATCCCGCCGCCAGGCGGACGCGGGCGTCGCAGGAGCCGTCTCAGGTGTCTCCCGCAGGTGATCGCCTCCTGCTGGGGTGACGTGCTAGTCTTGCGCGCGAGGCGTCGTGTGTTAGCCGTATCCATGCTGTTCGTGCCAGTAGTCGCAGAATAAAATGCACACCGAGCCGGCTGTGCCATGATGGGATGATCTGGGCTTTGGGGCACACGGATTACGCTGGTCATATGGCGCCCAAAGCTGGCTGCGGCGACCGGCCACGTAGGCCCGCATGGAACGAGGGCGGGGGATTATCCGCTGCCGGCCGGCATCTGCGGCCGCCGGGCGTCAAAAACTCTCAGCCTGGACGCACGGCGCGTCGCGGGTATCACCCGCGGCTCACCAGCTGCATCAGAACCCGTGTCCCTCTTACAGCCCCGCCGAGCTGCGGTCGGTGTGCAATCTCATGACTACTGTCAGATTAACGTATGATTAATGTTCACACATTTGCAATTTGCCCTCTAATTCAAATCTGGTGATTCTGTTATTTTGTGCATTATCAAGGCAGTCAACGGCGTCATACCGACGCCGTCGTCGATTTGCTTTCAATTTCGATCAGTTTTGTGAAGCGATCGACCAGACTCGAATGGCATGCGCCGTGACGTAACTGAAGACATATTTCAACTACGGATCTCCCGAGCGACAAAGCACTGAATCAACTTTCTGCGTGCAAAGCGTTCAAGGTAGAGTAGATTGAAAAGCTTCTCGGATAAAAAGTACTGATATTTCATAAAAGATGTACCCTACCCCTTACCCATAATCAAGACGTCGAGGGTATCCAGACATGGTATAAATGAACAGAATTGCCAGGTTTCATTTTTGTGTCGGTTTGAAGAAATCGGACATTCCTGCATTCTGCAATTCGGACATTTTCAAGGGTGTACCTACAAACTCTTTACGTGTCCTCACCGGGCCAACAGCGAACTCCTTAAACACCTTGATCGCGCTCCCGAACAAACCACCAGACCGGAAGGAACCAAGTTCAACGGCACGCGACGCGCGCTTCAGTCAAGGGTATGGACGGTGTGCCGGAGTTACGCGCAGGACTACACCACGCCTGCTCCAGGCGGTCCTGTGCTAGCCCCCTACCCTGCCGGGACCGATGGCGTACCGTCCTCCGCCGCACGAAACACGTTCAAACACGCCGACGAAAACATGACCATCTATTACGCGAGCGCGGTGAATCTACAGACGGGAAAACAACGATGACGCACGAATTGAGAAATCACATGAGCCGGCAGCTCTCGGCTCCGAGCCGGGCGCCGTCGGCGCCCCACGTGTGCGCGCGTGCAGGGCCTGCCCCGTCAGGGACTCTCTGCACCAGTAGCGATCTCGGGCGCGGCCGAGGCGACCGCCTCAGTCGCGGTTGGCCTCGAGTTCGGCCGGTTGCGCCTCGGGCTCCTCGTCATTGTAGATGTTCTCGGCCATCTGCCACACCTGCATGATATTGTCCTCGGAGACGGAGCACACCACCCACGGCTCGTTGGGGTTCCACGAGAAGTCGGAGATCTTGGCCGTGTGGCCGCCGTGGATGAAGAGCAGCTCCGGCGGCCCGTCCTCAGCGTCCTCGGCCGACTGCTCCTCGCCGATCTTGCTTAGGTCCCAGACGTGCAGGCGCCGGTCGGTGCCGCTGCTCGCCAGGATCGTCTCGTTGTGCGGCGACCACTGCACCTGGAAGATCTCGTCCTTGTGCGACTCGAACGAGTGCAGCTTGAGCTTGAGGTTGCGTAGGTCCCACAGCGCCACCGTCTTGTCGGCCGAGCCCGTCGCCAGGATGTACTCCGAGTAAGGGTTGAACGAGAGGCAGTTGACCTCGGCCGTATGCGCGTCGACGATGTGCGACGGCTTGTTGGTGGTGCTGGAGCGCGTGTCCCAGATCATCAGCTTCTGGTCGTCGGCCACAGAGCCGAAGAACGTCGGGTGCAGCAGGTGCCACGCCACGTCCTGTGATACAGGCCGGCGAAACGTCAGCAGGGCCGCACGCCCCCACGCACACATACGCACACGCACACGTATCCGCACACGCACGCGCACGCACACGTATCCGCACTCGCACACGCACGGCACGCGCACACACACACACAAACACGCACCTGGTAAGGCACACCGCGCGCCGCGCCACCACGCTGGTCGCGCTATGAATGATTAGATTTGAGACGGGAAATTGCGCGGCATGGTGTAGGCAGTACATTGGGCGTGTGATTACAAGGTCTGCGGTTCGACTCCCTGACGCAAGATGTACATTTTATTGTCAGACGAGCCAAATCATCACCTGCAACGCAACCAACAAAGACGCTCCTCACTGCTCGGGCAGGACATGACACAGAATGCGCATCGGCCAGGCTGTACAGCACGGTCGTATCATACCAGGTCTTCGGTAAAACGAATGCACGCACCCATACACTGCTGGACGTGCGCGCGCACCACAACTTCAAAGAAAGCTCTGGTGCGGCTGCATGCGCCGCCAATCGCGGGTTCCCCCGCCACGGCTTGCTCCGAACGAGTGGTTCAGCAGACGGTGCAACGCGTGTGGCTCACTGCCGTCACCAAATGCCAGGCAGCGCCCACAACATCGCTGACCGGCCGGCCGTCCGGACCGGGCCGCGCAGCCGCCGCCGCCGCCGGAGAGCTCACCTCCACCACGGCCGTGTGTCCGGTGAAGATGTTCTTGGCGTCCACCACCTTGTTCTCCTTGGGAGTAGCGTTGATGTCCCAGAGGCAGATGGTGTGGTCGTCCGAGGCCGACAGCAAGTTGCCGTTGACAGACGGGTTCCAGGAGAGGCCGTACCCCTCCTTCTGGTGGCCCCGCAACCTGGCGGCCACGTCACGTGCGTTGATTGGGATGTTGCTTCAGATTGGTGGTCAAAAGACGGTGAATATGTCACTAACGTCCCGTAACACATGCCAGATTTATGGCAAGAGCCGCATTTAGCACACAGCACGAACCATGCCATACTTAGGTACCAATAAAGGGCAGGCGCAGAATGACCGCTGCAGTCGAAGCGTCTCGAAACCCAAACATCGCCATCCATACCAACAGAATAAGTACAAACGTAGCACATAAGAATCTATACATTTATCAATAGGACAGGTGACATATACATCCACATATCAGCCAATAACATTGCACATATTCGAGAGAGCTGCATGGAAAAGCGTTAGGAGCTGCTGATGCCAGATGGCGCCGGGCCTGGCTCGCACGCGTCTGTCGGCCACAACGCTGGCAAGGGGGCACGCGGATGTCGCTCGGCCCCGCCCCAAAAGACCTGAGGTCGGGGCTGCACTCGCCGCCGGCGTCCGGCTTGCTCGGGTGCTTGGTGTAGTCGAACACGAGCACGTCCGAGCTGGGCGTCTTGGTGGCGATGACGCACGGGTTCTGCGGCATGTAGCGCGCCCGGTTCACCTCGCCCTCGTGGTTGATCTTGATCTCGATGTCGATCCGGCCGTTCACTGAGCTGAAGCCGCCGAACTCTGCCGCGCAGGGAGGCCGGTGAGGCGGCGGTGGGCACACGGCCGTCGCCAGGCGAGGCACAACAGCCGATCACAGGAGACCGACATACGCCACTGCTGTTACGCCACATACACATACGCCACATACGCTTCCTGTGTTCATCGATTTCCAAGGCGTCGCAGTCTTCGCGTTTGGCAAGAACCAACACACCAACACAAGAACCAACATGCCGGCCGACACCGAACGATGGGTTCACCGCTCAACGATGGGCGTGCGGTACGCACCGCGTGGTACGCTCTCGTAGTGGGACCCCCCCCCCCCCCCCCCCCGATCTGCGGACCATCGATGCCCGACACAGCAGCGCATGCGCCGCCCCATTCGCTGTTGTCATGGAATACCTAATCGGACACAGCGGCGTACGTACCGCCCCGTTCGCTGTCGTAGTGGGACGGGTCGAGCTGGGCGTCCTCGGTCGGCAGCTGCACGGACGCGATCAGCAGGTGGTTCTGCTCGTCGGACGTGTGCGTACCCAGGATCAGCCGGTGGATGGTGTAGTCCCGCCCGTCCGGCCTGCCCGACCACCCGTACGTCACCGACCAGCGCCGGCCGCCCACCATCCGCCAGCGTACAGCAGCGCAGCACGGCAGGCGGAAAGAGCAACATGCGGGTGACAAGAGTCAGCACAGAGCGCCCACCAGGCCTACCTACATCCCACGCAGGCAAACCAAGAGCCACAGCGCGGGATTCCAACATTACGTCATTCGGCTCGCTGAACAGGCTCGCTCAGTTCGGCCGCTCAACAGATCGCAGTTACAAGCGGAAACCCGCGTACTTTCTCCCGCGATCAACGCCGCGTGCACCGCCCACCAGAGTGGTCTGAACGTGGATAGGGACGATCGGGCGCCCAGCCCCTGCGCCCGGTAAGAGCGAGGGGCGGTCGGTGGCGCGCGCGCACACCTGGTCACATCCGGCAGCCACTGGGCCGTCAGCGAGGGCCATTCCAGCGCGTGCGTCATGACCAGGTCGTAGAGGAACGGCGTGTTCTTCTTCCAGATCTTGTACTCCTCATTGATGACGCGCTCCTCCACTGCGTCGTCGAAGTTGTCGCCCGCGGTTACTGCGGCTGCGGGACGCGGCACAGGGTCAGACGGCACGGGTCAGGTCGGTCATCAACCAGCCACGCAGCTGTGAGACGCGGCAAAGGGTCAGATGAGACGGGTTACGCAGCACAGGGTCAGATGGAACAGGTCACCCGACATAGGGTCAGGTGGGACGGGTCACGCAACCTAGGGTCAGATGGGACGGGTCAGGTCGGTCATCAACCAGCCACGCTGCTGCAATACGCGACACAGGGTCAGAGCAGGGCAGGTCCTGTCTTCAGGACACAATACAAGGTTACTAGAGGTCGGGTCGGGTTACCAGCAGCCACTGTGGTACAAGGCCATTGGAGGATGGATCAGTCAGCACCTGAGCAGCTTGCATGTTCTGCTCCATTTGCTACCATCAGACTGAAACTGACCTTCGAAATATCATAGGCACATCAGCAGTGCTTTTGGTGACCTTTAAGCATTTAAATGTTTTGTGATAAGGACCTTTAACAGCCAAAACAGTTCACTCACCTCCGTCCTTTTCTGTCATGGTGGCTCTTGATGTGTGCTATTCTTGCATGTATGCCTGGCTTCCTAGCCTGTGTTTGTCACCTGCACGGCTGGCTGGAAACTGGCACTGAAAACAAAAGTCACAATTTACAACTGCTACTGCCAGATGCATGCTGTGACTTCATCTTCAGCTTTTTAATATGCTGTGGCTTAAATCAACAAAGGCTAAGCCATAGAAACTGCACAAGAAAATGGCTGTTTTAACATGAGCAACACCCAATCAAAATGCTTGCATTCATTGCTCTTCTTTTGCCATTGTCAATCAAAAGCAAACCTAGCAAAGCTCTGCAACTTCACTGAATTAAACTGACTAATCTAACCAGCCACACAGCCAACAAATTTCAAGCCATGATCTTTCCAAAGTGTGTGTGTGTGTGTGTGGTGTGTGTGTGTGTGTGTGTGTGTGGTGTGTGTGTGTGGTGTGTGTGTGTGTGTGCGTGCGTGCGTGCGTGCGTGCGTGCGTGCGTGCGTGCGTGCGTGCGTGCGTGCGTGCGTGCGTGCGTGCGTGCGTGCGTGCGTGCGTGCGTGCGTGCGTGCGTGTGTGTGTGGTGCGTGCGTGCGTGCGTGCGTGCGTGCGTGCGTGCGTGCGTGCGTGCGTGCGTGATGCATGCATGCATGCGTGCATGCATGCGTGTGTGAGAACACTACACATCAGTACATTTTCACTGTAAAACTCATGAGTACAGGATATCCCACAAAACAATCCAACAACTGTGTGTTTCAACACTGTTCATAATGCAGCAGCTGCATGCTGCCCAAAAATGTCTCTTCTTCTTTCAGTAAAACTAAGAATGAGATGCAGGTTAACTACTGAATGTTAAAAAAGATTGTTGTGTTTGTTGTGTGATGCTGACCACATGATCGCTGCTCAATAATCCTGGGATGGTCTGGATGTCTCTGGATGGTTGCAGTTGTCTCTGTTGTCTCTCTAGTTGCCTCTCTAAAAGTAGAATGCTCTTTGAAAACTGGCTTTTCCTTCATAACCAATCTGTATAAGTCTGAATCAGTGTTGAGCCACTGCATTCAGCTGGAACCCTGAAATTCAGCATTGCCCTAAATTCCGTGAACCCTGCATTCAGCTGCAACCCTTTGGTATGATATTCTTGCTAGGAACTGTCTTTGCGACATCATAGTTCACTGATACATTGGCTCTCCATGTGCTGAAATCAGTGGTGACCATGTGCCAGACTTGGAGCACTCGACTCAGCTGTGTACATGCTTTGAAATTATTGCAGGAGTGTTGCTGCTGTCACACATGTTCAGCAAAACTTTAATTTTTTGTCATCTAGGTTCAGAGAAGCTCAGCCTAATGTCAGCTTGAAAATGATCCTGAGAATATATGTGGCTTTATATTATATTATATTCTGATAAGATATATTCTGATATATAAGATATAGTCTGATAGGACTACTCTGATGGTGAGCAGTATGCACATGAACCAATCTGTAAAACATGGCACATTTTAGCACAAGCTTATTGGTTATATATATATAACTCAAGCTTTGGGCAAGAGTTAATATTTAGGGCAGATATACCTCTGTGGGATAGCTTGAAAAATTATGGGACAAATTATAGCACTTCAGTATAAGTACTGAGCTGCAGCGAAAACCAGACAGAACTGGATAATGTACAGTGGCATGTAAAAAACAAAGGAATGGTAATTGATAAAGACAGGCAACCAACAGAGCTGATGCACCACACTGTTTCACCTGCATCATGTTTGGTACCAACATCACATCACTTTACTCAGCTCTAAATGAGGCTGCTTATCTAACCCACTGCGCAGTCAGACCTTCACCAAATACATTGAAATACTCAGACAAAAAAAGAAAGTTAGGTGTAAGCATAGCATTCACTTCAGTCAGCTTCTACCCCTTGTGCTGAATAGGTAAACCAGCAGCAACAACCACTCTCCAAAAGGGTCAGTGTCAGTGTAGCAGTTCTGACATGAAAACTGATTGCTCATATCACAAAATAATTAATACATTTTTTAATCTTGTAAATTTGATGACACTCCAGTGTCATGACAAACATTAGATGGTGAACTAGCTGTGGGTCTGATGCACCGCAAGCAAAGCAATACAGGTGATAAGTAGTCAGTAGATACAAATGAGGTTGTAAAAAATTGGGAGACCCCATATTCTCTACATAAAAGCCTCTGCTCTAATCAGAGAGGCAACTGCTCCTTTAGGGGCAGAATCAAGCCTGCCCTGACTATCTCATTGACTGGTGTGCTGACTTTGGCAGACTGGAATATGAGCCACTCTTGAAGCCTGCCTGGCCCAAGTAAATACCCACCCACGCTACACGTTTGCTTGGGTCAAAAGAAAGCAAAATAAAGTGTACCTTTAGATACTGTTCCTTTTGTGGCTGTCCAGAAGAGGACATTGCTTGTGACAAAACATCACCTTTATCACTAAAATAAGCAAACAAGGATAAATGTAAATGAACTAAGTGCTGTGCCTGGTGAACCAGTGAATACTCATTGCATACTTCATTTACTGGGGCCAGGCAATCAAAGATAAGAAGTCTGTGCTGATGTTACCAAGACCTACCTCACCTAGAGAAGCATTGAATGCAAAAAAACTGTTCCCGCCACTCTCGGCTTTGGTACCAAAAGTCAAAAAACCAGCGCCTGTATCCTTTCTGCCGCACGAAACGACAAAGCCAGCCGCCCGACAAATGAAAACCAGGTGCGTTTGCCGCCCAACCTCACAGCCCGACAATTTCAAACGACAAAATTCGTCGCAATGTCGCGCCAAAGTGCTGGTAACACGTTTCTAAGCAAGATGTTAGTTAAATACCCACCAATAAAAAAACCGACGTACGAACCACTAGAGGTCAACCCCCTACGCAGAGCCCCACATACCGCGCCAAAAATTGTTCATGCCAGACAAACGATTTAGCCTTATGCAGATGTAGTTGGTTGGCAG